ATATTTTCAGCCATTGTATTAGAAGGATCAAGAGGCACTGAGTGCACCACTGGAGTGATAGGTGCGTTCCTAGTTGTCCAACCTGAATTCTGCGCCATCTTGTCGAGCAAATTCTGACCTTCTCTCCAAGTCTTGCTCAAGAATGCCCGACCAGCAGAGGCATCAACGATATTCTTCATGCTGTCTGACAGTCCCATGTAAGACCGTTGTCCCAACATCTGTTCTGGAACACCATGGTGGGGACACATAACCAACATTCCCTTAAACATGCCCCATGTCTCGTGTAGTGTCTCCATTGGTTTCTGTTTGAAACTCACAATCTCATCAATTTGTTGAGCAGTTTTGTTGGGCGGATGGAACTTGTTGTGAAATTGCTTGACCAACTCATCCCAAGTTTCTATAGAGTTTATGGGGAGCGAGTTTAGCCAAACCTGAGCAGCTCCTGTCACCGAGAACGGAAACAATAATAGCCTGATTGCTTCCGGAGTCACGTTGGGTTGCCTTTGAGTTTTGCATATAGACAGGAAGTTCTTCAAGTGCTGCTGAGGATCTTCTGTTTGTGTCCCAGAAAAGAGTCCCTTGTTCTGCAACAAGTGTAGCATGTTATTTGTGATCTGGAACGATTCAGCTTGTATTGCGGGCACAACAATGGCAGTAGCCAAATTGTCAGCTGTTGGTTGTGCCCAGTCATATAATGCACCCTCAGGCACAGGAGGTGCCCCTTCCCTGGCATTTAAGCCATCTTGCTCATTCCTGACGTTTCCGTTGGGATCGTTTACGTCTCCCATGTTAATTTCGATTTTGAGTGTTTGTTGGGATTGTTGAATTCTTTTGTTGGCACGGTTCAATGCCCAGAATGTTTGCTCAGGGTCTGAGAGTCCTTCGAGTAGTTCTCCAGTCCTCGTAGACTTTCTAGGCATACACCTGACCACCTAAATCAACAACCGTTAAATTTTCAATGAAAAATTTTGTAGAGAGAAAACTGACTACAATAAGAATCTTTGTATTGCTGTCAATGGCAATTGATAATTCCGTTAACTCCCCGGCAGCGACGCCAAAATTTGATCACGCCCAACTATGCCTTATAAAAAGGACTCTGCGGACGTTGCAAATATAACCCGAGTATTACGCCCAGGGTCGAATCCACAGAGAGTTAACCTATCAACCACTATCTTCAGACCCACTATATTTATACTACAATTAAACTACAATTTATATTGAAAAAAAATGTTGACTACAAAAGGTTTCCTATGTGGCATAGGAATGTAAAAATCCAAAAAAAAATAGGGTTTCAAGAATAGGCAATTCATAAAGTGATCTCCATACGAAATGTCATAGCTCGAAAGAAATTCAGATATCAAAAAGTGAGAATCTCGCTGCCGCCATTTGTTGCTTGATTTCTATCTGTGTTTGAAATTTCGAACTCTCTCCCATTATTATTTCCAGTGGGAATTCAAGCGGTTCGATCAAAGAATTTAATATTTTCTTGTGAATCTGAAAATATGATATTCTTCTATTCTTAATAACAATTGAGAGGCGGTGGGCAGTTAGGGATGATCAACGAGAGGAAGCATAGGAGCATCGTGAGTTGTGTGTGTGTTGTGAACAGTTGAGATGAAAGGAAAGAGAAAGTGGGAAGATACAGTCCTATAATTATGCCTAATATAAATGAACCCTTAATTATATCCCTAATTTGAATTATGGTATAAAAATGGTAATTTGGTATGCTGAAATGTAATTAACTAAAACCTTAAACATTGAGGGTAATAAGGTTTCATATATGGTATAGGAAGATAAAAATCCCTTTTCCAGCCATGTTTGTTGATTGGATCATGATTGCTATGAAAACAGTTTCATAGTCGATCCTTATTAATGGGAACAGGGGCGGACCCAGGATTTGAGAGCGGCGGAGGCACCATCACTTTATATATGCAAAGGCAACTCTATGAAAACGTAAATGATTATGATAACATATCAACAAAATATAAATTTAATATTATCGAATATAATTAATTTGGTACTGATATAATAAAAGTACATCATAGGCTCATACTTGAACTCTATGCATTTTCATACGCAAAGGGCAAAGGTTTAAACTTTAATGTGTAAATTTTTATATAGAATGTCCCGATGTGATTGTAGCTATACGATGAGTTAAATGTTTAGGTATCACTAATTAAAATTGAGAAAATAATCGAATATATATCTTGCTAATGCATAGAAAATCACAAGCCACTTGTGAATGTCCATATGGAAGGGAAGAATCACATAGGAAATTGTCCAAGTTTTATTTTACAATCTTCAAAAGGTAAACTTTATTAGTCATTACATGGATCCAACTGTCCTCCTATTATTGTAAAAAAAATATGTTTTACTTCTCCATAATTCTTCGTTCTTTAAGTTACATGTCAGATAAAGCTTTCAAAAAAGAGAAAATTCTAAGCAGAGAGTGATCAGTGAGGGACTTGAAAAAGAATAAAATAAATTGACTACTATGTACTAGTAATAAACTAATTTTGAAAAGATAAAAGAAAAAAATTAAATTAATTGCTAGTAAGGAGTATAGTAGTAAGTTAAAAAAAGGCAGTGAGGGAAGGACTGGAAAAGGAATAAAATAAATTAACAACTATGTAATAAAAATAAACTAATTCAGGAAATATTATAGAAAACAAAAATAAACCCATTGACCAGTAAGGGAGTAATAGTAAGTAAAAAAAGGAGTACGTATCCATGATTTTCTTTTTAAAACAAAGTAACCAAAAAACAATTTTATTAGAACAAAAAATCACGTTAGAGGAGTGGGTTTCGAACCCAAGTAATCGAGTAAGTAAGGGATTTTGCGCTGTCCAGTAAACCAGTCTTGCCGTCTGACATTTATGTTCAAGAGGGCCAAGGAAAATATATAAACGATTCCTTCGTATACATAGAGACCATATATAACATAAGTATTCGTGGTTTTTGCCGAGACTAACGGGGTCGCGTGACCCCAACACTCTATGTAGGTCCGCCCCTGAATGGGAAGCCCACCAAACCCTTTGAAGCCAGGAAAGAATTAAGGTAGGGGATCCTTTATCCTCATATTTGTTTGTATTAGTAATGGAAAATCTCAGCAGGCAGCTAAAGACATTAGCACAACAGCCTAATTTCAACTTTCATCCGAAATGTACTAAGTTAAAACTGATTATCTGGGATTTGCAGATGACTTGCTTTTATTTTGTAGGGGAGATATAACTTCTGTGATTTTAACTGTTTCCAAAGCTTTTCTATAGCCTTTGGACTAATAGCAAACTTAAGCAAAAGCTCGGTATTTTTTGGAGGGGTCACATAGGAAGAACAAGAAGAAATTTTGGCTATTCTGGGATTCTCTAAAAGGGAACTTCTTCCCATAAGATATTTGGGTGTCCCCTTGAGTACAAAAAGGGTCGCAGTGCTGCAATGTCAACCCCTGCCGGATAATAGATTCCTCTCCTATGCAAGCAGAGCCCAATTGATTAAGTCTGTCCTATTTTTCATTCAAGTATATTGGTCCCAGATTTTTGTGCTGCCTAAGAAGGTGATAAAACTTATTGAAGCTAACTGTAGAAGATTCATGTGGACGGGAGGTGGTTGAACTATCCAAAAAAGCTTTATTGGCCTGGGATAAAATTTGTATGCCTAGGACTGCTAGTGGCCTAAATACACTTGATATCTCTATGCGAAATAAAGCTGCAATGTGCAAACTGTTGTGGAATCTTTGTCAGAAGAAAGACAAGCTATGGGTAAAGTAGATTCATGTGTACTATGGGACAAACAAGAATTTGACTGAAGATATTCCCCAACAAGATTCATGGGTGGTACAAAAGATGTTAATAGCCAAGAGATACTATATTGATGCAGGTTATGGGGTGCAGGATATATACAACATGGAGAAGGCCTCTACAAAGGAACTTTCCAAAATGTTAACTTTCCTAAGTTAACATGGAGGAAATTGGTGTGCAACAATCAAGGCCTACCCAAATGGATCTTCATCTTAAGGATGTCAACACACAGAAGATCACTCACAAGAGATAGATTAATGAGATGGGAAATGGTAGCTGACCAAAACCTGCCCTCTATGCAATCTGGAAGATGAAAGTATAGAGCATGTGTTCTTTAAATGCGGGATTTCTGCACAGATATAGAAACACCTATTACAATGGCAGGGTATTAACAGAGACCCTATGTGCTGGGATGAGGAACTAATGTGGGCTGTTCAGAATGCAAGTGGAAAGAGTACTGGTGCTGCAGTATATAGGATGCTGCAATCTGCAGCAGTCTACTATATGTGGAATGAAAAAACCCAAAGAGTATTCACCAACAAATAACAAGGAAAGAAAGTCATCATCAAAAAGATGGTTCAAGAGGTGCATCATAGAGGAGCAATGAAGCAGAGAACTGCAAAATGGCTGGAGCAGCTAAATTTCTATCCATTATAGCTAAGATTGTCAATATGAGATTAGTTGAGGTGATTGTAGTGTAGAGCGATAGCTGGAGTTGGGGCTTGCTGTCCAACTATCAGCCTTTTTTGTTGTCCGTACATAACTCTATTTGGTAAATAAAAATGGTTTACTTGCCCAAAAAAAAAATGTAGTGCCTTCCTCTGATTCCCATTGAGTCGAAGGTTGCTCTTCCTTTTGGAACACATTTCAATTACTAACCTTTCAAACATGAAAGAATTACACAAACCTTTCTGAGAAAGAAGAAAGACTTTAGAATCTTATTGACCTTGTCTCTTCCCTCAATTTATAATGTTTCTTTCCTCTTAGCACATATATAGCAAGCTTGTATAAATTTCTCTTTTGGCAGGGAAGTGAAACTTTGCTCACATACCCTTAAAAGCATGTGAGAGTCTCTGGTCTTATTCGTTTCTGGAATCATTAAACATTTTACCTTAAAGTTAGGATGATAAGTACAATTCAGAGTTTCAATTCTATAATTTATACTACCAAAATATGCATGAATGCAAGAAGAGAAGCTTTCTCCAAGAAAACTCTAGGTCCTTTATTTGAATAGTAAAATCAATATGATAAATATTTCTTCCAGAATAAACGTTAACTGTACAACTCTACATGATCCAAGGGATATCCCAATTTACAAAGTGGATTTCTGGTGCAGCAACTGATATGCTTCTTGAACAGTGTCTCAATTAAAATTATAAAACTATTGCTTTGATTTTTATAACTGTAGAAAAAGAATACCTAAAGATGCTTCCAATTTTAACACACTATTAAAATTTTGAAAACTAAATACCCCTTTAGATGCCTCCTGTATTCTCCCAGTGCTCCCAAAGTATCTTTCTCATGATCAACCCCGGCTAAAAGAATGAAACCTAGGCCGAGCAATCTCCCAAGCAATAATACAGCCATTGGAATCAATCTTCCCTGTAAAAAGATATTGGAAAAGGATGTTTAATCATAACCAAAGATTGTCGTGCATTTTTAGACATGTAGTTGTGACTAAACCCACTCTCACCTGAAGCAATGCCAATACATTTTCCATATGACAAATGTCCGTCTTAACAATATCATGTAATCATGTTTCTCGAACTGAGTTTGTCTCCGAGCAATGTAACTTTCCAGCAGTCCGCTTGTAGCATAAATACAGAAAGCTTTTTTGGCACAACTGCAATTCAGATAAACAATAAGGTAAGAAAAGCAGTGAAAAAATAAGTATTAACAAGAACTGGACTTCTGCATTCTTGGCCCATCCCCTTCTCTTGGCATAAATCAAAAAGGGAAAGAGAAGTAGTTATTTCTCAGCTTGGTTAAAGATTTCGAGCTCTTTACATGTTGCATACATCATTTCTAATGCAACCTATCCTCGATTTGCCCCCAAATAATTCATCTTTCTACAAATCACATAACAACTCCTTTGCAAAGGGACAAGACAACATAGTAGTAATAACAACATTTTTAGTTTTGAGAATTTTGATTACATTTGTTTTGATGAGGAATACAATTTTGATTACATTAGTTAATCTGTGCCAAAGACACTCAGTAGTTATGAGTATGTTTAATATTGGCAGTTTTGTTTCCTCAAGAGCGCTGGTGCAAGTATAATACTATAATTTCTATCTATGTAATATGCTTCTCTGCTTAAGTAATTTCCAGATAAAATATCTGATTTGTCTAATACTGTATGCTTTTTCCGGTGGCATCTGCCGTCTGGTGAGTTTTTATATACCTGCTCGTGAAAAGTAGAGCTTCAGGACAGCATATGTACTAATAATTAAGTCTTGTAGTCTGCAGTGTTCAATAGCATACACTTGCGATTGCAGAATCTGATAACTTTAGTTTTGGTTTTGGCTCCTTTCTTAACAAAACTGAACCTGATCAACTACTTTTCTATTCTTATCTTTCTATTTTCAGTTTTGTTTTCATGGTTGGTGATCGTGCTAAATATTCTGTCGATGCTTAGGCAGGAAACATGATGTGCCTAAGAAATATGAAAAGCACACCAGCTTGTTTCCTCCACCAAATGGATAGGGATGGAATATTAGGTGTACTTGGGATAGGATGAATTTTCAGGCAGAATCAGTCACCAATCTGCGGAACCTACCTCTACATGACAGGTAAATCACAATATAGAAGGGCATCTGCCTAAATTTTTTAATAAATGAATTTCCAACAAAAAAGGTGACACAAAAAAAACTCGAAAGGGAATTGTATGCACCGAGAATTCATCCTTTTATGCCCAAGAAGATGACATATATACTCTCGAAAGAGTAGACTCAAGTGTGTTTGGAGAAGATAAATTAACGGAATCAAAATTATAGCATTCCTACTTTACCCCTTCATTAATAAGTGCTCTAATGATTTTGCAACTTTTTTTTTTGGGGGTGGGGGGGGGGGGGGGGGTAGGGGTGGCA